CGGCTTGTGGGCGCGGGCGCTGTCCATCAGAGGAGCAGCGTCCCACCGAGACCCAGCTTTCATTCTCTTGTCTGTCTTTTCTAAGCCTTTCAGCTGCCCCCACTCAGGTTCACCCTTGGCTGTGCTGGCGCGGCACAAACATGCATACACAAAACCAAAGACTCAGCTGTGTAGGGATTTTTAAAAAAGAAAAAAATTATTTGTAGATGATATGAATCTGACAAAATAAGTCAGCATTCAACAGATATCTGTTAAATGTCAACATGAAGAAAAAATAACAGCAACAACAAAATTCCTTGAAGGTATAGATCATGTCTTAATGCTGAGTTCAGTTATGAAATAGGCAAATTTTATCTTGGTCACCACTCCCTCATTCCACCGCCATCACCTTCTGGGTCTCTCTTTTCTTAACAATTATTCTTCTAAGTGTTGGTTGCTGAAGATTTAAACAAGCAATTCTCAAACTTTTGTGTTTCCAGATTCCTTTATACTCCTAGAAATTACTGAGGACTCCAAAGAGATGTTATTTATATGGATTATACCTATTTATATTTGCTATATGAGAAAATCACTGACTCATCTATTCACTATCAAGGTCAACATCAAAGATGGTAAGTCATGTTGATAGTATACTCTTGATAATAATGTGATAAAATGGTATTTACCTTTGTGGTATCCTCCCAAAAACCCATAAGCCCAGTCTAATCATGAGAAAAACATCGAACAAATCCCAATTGAGGAACATTGTAAAAAATATCTGATCAGTATTTCTTTCTTTTTCTTTTTTTTATATTTTTTTAATTAAATCTTTATTGTTTAGATTATTACAGTTGTTCCTCTTTTTTCCCCCCATAGCTCCCCTCCACCCGGTTCACACCCCACCCTCCGCCCTCACCCCCTCCCCCACACTGTCCTCACCCGTAGGTGCTCGATTTTTGTCCAGTCTCTTCCCGGATCCTCCACACCCCTTTCCCCCCCCAAGAATAGTCAGTCCACTCCCTTTCTGATCAGTATTTCTTAACACCATCAAGGTCATCAAAAACAAGTAGACCCGAGAAACTATCACAGCCAAGGGGCCCTAAGGAAGCATGCTGACTAAATATAATGTACTATCCTAGATGGGATCCTAGGACAGAAAAAGAATATTAGGTAACAGCTAAGGCAAGCTGAGTCAAGTATGAACTTCAGTTAATATTTCAATATGGAATCATTAATTATATAAAATATAGGCTAATAAGGTAGTAACAGGAAAAACTGGGACAAGGTATATAGCAACTTTGTCTTGAAATAATGTTGATGAGATGCCATAGGAACTTAATTCTTGTTTGTATCAATTAGCCTATGGTAAAACTGGTTTTGTTATACATCATTTTGCTTAAAGTCATGGAAGCTATCAATGATGTTAAGTGAGAATTTACTAAAACTATTCTAAAAAATTAAGTTTATTATATAAAGAAAAAAACACTGTCTAGAAAAAAAATTAAACTAGGAAAATCTGAAAACAAGAATACACAAGCACACATCCATTATTCAGCACAGCAATGACATCATCATGTCTCATACAGCTCTGAAAAAGTGCACTCTACACTCATGAGAGAATGAGAAAAAAGGCAGTTAACAGCAAATACCATCGTATTACTACAAAAATAATTTGGGCCTCATGGATTCTAAGAAAGGGTCTGAAGGAGTTCCATAGTCCTGGGAACAGAATTTGAGACCATCTCCAAGCATAATGGAAACAGAAAAAAATTCTAGCTTGCAATTCTGCTGATGTACTGTGTCAATGGTTATTTCTTTTACTTTTTAAAAAACTAACTCTTTCTCCAACCCAATTCCCAAATGTATTAAAGAGTCCCATCATATTTTTTAGATTACTCAAGCCTCTAGGAAGAACAAGAATACCTCTAACAAGTCGAAAAAAATGAAGATAAAAGAGAGAATTAAGTACTCATACAATAGGAAATATTGAGCAATATTTTCCCACTTGGTTAGTTTAAACATTACAAATATTTAAATACTACTAACTTGTAACTTTCAGATGTTAATATAGCATAAATCATCCCTACCAAATTGTTTTATCATTTTATTAAATGTCTCCCTTTAGAAGGTTAAATGTAAAATGATGGAAAGACAAAATACCTAACCTAATGTAGGCTGGTTGGTTTGCTTGCTTTAAGGTAGAGGCTAGTCAGTCATTCTCTCCAGCTCCCATTTTTCTAAGCCAGTTATAATATTCATTTATATCCCTCTTGAATGAACAGATCTAGGCAATGGTCATCAATGGCTGCTATTATCACAAGAAGAGAGACAGACTAATTATGTCTCCTGATGATAATACACACACCATCAATGAAGTATTATTGTAAAAAAAAAAAAGCGAACCTGAATCTGAGCAAGTGTCTAATCTGAATGACCAATTTGCAATAAAGATAACTGACTGAAGAACACATTAAACAATCACCATGGGAAAAATCCAGATTGTGGGAAACTCTACAGGACAGACTACTTCATTTCCTCAATATATTGAAAGGAAAAATTAAAAACGAATAGGAGGCCCAGCTGGAGTGGCTCAGTGGCTGAGTGTGGACTTATGAACCAGGAGATCATGGTTCATTTCCCCATCAGGGCACATGCCGGGGTTGCGGGCTTGACCCCTAGTGGGGAAGCATGCAGGAGGCAGCCGATCAATGATTCTCTCTCATCATTGATGTTTCTATCTCTCCCTCTCCCTTCCTCTCTGAAATCAATAAAAATACATATTTTTTAAAAATCATTTATATAATCAATTTTAATACAACAAAAAATTTTGACCTCTACTATAGCTTATAAAGCAGTTTCCTCTGGTAAGAGAAATAATATATAAAATATTCAAACATTTAATGACTTTCCTTAAGGAACATATTCAATTTTTTTTAATCTAAAAGGATATTTCAGTTTAGTCTACCTCAATTTATTAATAGAAAGTTGACTCCTATACTTTAAGCATTTCTTAGTGGTTTATTTCTAAAGTGATATAAATTCTGGACCTTTACAAAATGTTTTAAGACATATTAAATGTACATTGTGTTCTGAAGTATATTTAGTACCTCATATAAAGAGATTCAATCCATATTTTTCAATATTTACCACCTAAGACTAACAACACTAAAACAAAAATTGAACTATAGGCAACTAGAATAATGAATACATTTTTAAAAACTAGAAATATTGCCCGGCATGGCTCAATGGTTGAGCATCGACCCATGAACCAAGAGGTCATTGGTTCGATTCCCTGAAGAAACTTAAAGAACAAATATAAAAAATTGCTCTCATTGCTTTTTAAATAGCTTGCTCCAACCTCTCAACAGCAACAGAATTTAGCATAAAAATGGTTAAAACTTCATTAATACACTACAGGTATTCAGCTATAGAATTTAATACTACCTACTTAGATACATATTTTAACAGGTAACAATAAATTTAAAGCAATTCTATTCAGAAAGACAGATATGTAGTGAATACCCTAGTGGCAAAGTAAAGTATTCAGAGACAGATAGTTCCACCGCTTAAGCTATGAGTTCTTAGGGAGATAATAAACTTCCCTGATCTATTTGCCTACCTACAAAAGTGAGGACAGACAAATATCTACCTTTAACGGCTGTTATGAGGATAGTCTGACAAAGTACAGACTTAGAAAATAGCTACTGTTGCTATTTCTAGCATTTTTATTATCACTAAAAGATTTAAAATACTTCAACTAAAATGACTTATGAAAGACCATTAGCTTTAAATAAGATGCTACTTATGGAAAAGTATACACCATATTTTAAGACAGGACCCTTAATTTTAACTTTGTTTCTGAAATTATAGTGAAAATAAAATAACTTACCATCAGTTTTCCATTTATAAGCATCATGACAATTACCTTCACAAATCAAGCTTTTTCCATGTCCATTTTATTCTCTATTAACAAGTCATCATTTTAAAGTTTAACTATTTTTTGACCACTTAAGAAAGTAAACAAGTTTGAAGTAGAAATTCAAGAAAGGTTGGGACCAAATTAATACAGGTAAGCAAAATTGCATTTTGCTGTCAATCATTAGACTGTCCTACATTTGAGCCTGAACAAAGGACATTCACCAAGTTAAAATTTACAAGCCTCTCAATATACTAGTGACTCTCAACTCCATAGCAATGTGAAAGATAGACAATTTGACCTTCACATTATTCCAACAATACAAATTTGTCAAAGAATCTTCCACCTAACAAATCAGCTCCCAAACTGACAGTTTATATAGTTACCACCCTTACTTTAGGTAATAGAAACATTCCTAATAAAGAGTGTATAAATCAGTATTTAATGGGATCTGTCAAAATGCTGCAGGAGAATTGAAAATGAAATTATCATGGGACAACATTTTTTTTGTACAATGACAAATCATCATTTAATATACCCTCCTGGTGGATTTTATTTTTCACTTATTGGTAAGGTATACTTAACCACTATTCCTACTAATTTTATTTCAGAATACAATTCAATCACAATCACAAGGCAGCAATGTTTATTAAATCTTCAGACTTTTATAGAAAGAATATACGTGGCAGCTACTCTTAATTCTTAATTATTTTAACTGTTTTACTCCCTCTGCCTGCTCGTAAGTTCACATGATGTGAGATTTGGAGGCATTTAATTTCCTCAACGTAGTATAATTCTCTTGACTTCCCTAAGGCAGAAAGTTTTGAGGAAAACATAAACACAAACTATGACATCAGTATATCTTACACTATACCACTAGAAAGGGGAAAAAGGGAGGAGATGGGGCAAAAAAAATCAGAAAACTGACTAGGTTGTGCTCCAAAAGAATTTAAACTATCTGTAACTTTCATATCAACAGAGGAGTTAAAGTATTGTTTTTTAAAGCTTGTTTGAAATACATTTTTAAAATAAAATCATAACTTAAATCAAACACTTCATAGCTGTAGATGATAGTACCTTATTATGCTATATTTGAACCACTCACCGAAATTCGGTCAGGTTCTCCATCTGCCAAACCTGCCTCCATAGTGAAAGAAGATAGGTTTATGCTTCTCTTTCCACTAAGGTTTATTCATCCCGTGAATCTGGAAATTCTAGAAAAAGAAAATAATATGTATTAGGAGTAATAAAAATGTGACAAGTGGAAAATTAAATATGTTAAATAACATTAAATATGTTAGAAGGGAGAAATCATTTTAGGTGAGGTTACTGAGAAATCCAATAATGGAAAAAAAAAAAAAAACCCACAGATTTTGACATAGCTTGAAAAATGGTAAAGGTTCAGAGAAAAATGTTAGAAGAACATATTCCAAGTGAGGAGAAATAGCAAGAACAGGGTTAAAGACATGAGACTGTTCAAAATTTGAAAAGATATTTAAATCTTCTTTTAATTAATGAAATAATATTAGATATCAGTTTTTTCGTTATTACACTAGCAAAAACTAAAGAATGTGCTAATATCCAACATTGGTGAACATGTAGGAAAACAGGTATTCTCATATATTTTTGTGATAAGAATATACATCATAACTTTTTTTTTAAGGACAACTTAAAATACAAATGATTCCATCCAACAATTTCAAAGCTAGGGATTATTTCATATATATACTTCTACAAATGCATAAAGATATATAAATAAACACATCCAACAAAGTAATAGATATGATGAAAAAACTGGAAACAATGTCCATCAGCGGAGTTTGCTTAAACTAGATTACAGACATAAAATGAAATATCATACATTTTAAAAAATGATATAGCTCTAGACATACTAAACTGTAAAGAAGACCATGACACATGAGGTGGAAAAGCAAATGATAGAACGTAAAATACTCTGTGTGTTTCTATATTTTTAAATTTTTATAATGAACTTGTATTACTTTTGTACTTATTTTTATTTTGAAAGTCTTAGAAAGAGTATCTTCACCACAGGTCTTTTTCTTTTGTACGTTTAAACTAACAAAAACTCCAAGCAGATCTCCTATAGTAACTACATGTATTTAGAAGTCTCTAATAACCTCTCTAATAATTCTTCCTTAAAACAGCTAACATAACAAAACTCAACAAATCAGTAGACTTCTTGTCATTTCTTGGAGTTCCAAAAACACTTCTTTTTTTCTGCAAGTATAAAAGTCTGTACTGACATATAAATGCTGGGGAAAATATATTTCTTTAAAATATATTTTTATTGATTTCAGAGAGAGGAGCGGAGAGGGAGAGACAGGAACATCAATGATGAGAGAGAATCATCAACCAGCTGCCTCCTGCATGCCACCTACTGGAGATCAAGCCCGCAACCCGATATGTGCCCTGACAGGGAATGGAACCATGATCTCCTGGATCATGGGTCAATGCTCAACCACTGAGCCACACTGGCCAGGCTGAAAATACTTTTTAATTGGGCTTTAAGGGATATCATTTGGTTTCTTCGATATAACCAATATATGCCCAAGCCATGCTGACTTTTAACTTATGAATCTTACATACACTTCCTCACTCTATGTATTACAACGCATTGTAATTATTTGTTCTCATGATCCAATTCTCTTCAAGGACACAGTGTTTAATGATCTGACTATCCAGCACTAGTTCATGGTAGACATTTAATAAACACTTGTTGCACTGAATTAATTCTGTCAACTCAGTTAGCTATATGAATAAATAAAATAATCCAAAATAGCAGATGACACAAAAATTATATAGCTATTGCTATAATCCAAGCAATGGAAGCTTGTACCAGAATAGTAGCAGGGGATGTGGAGAATAGTGTCAAATTCTTTAAATACCTTGAATATAAGTCAGAAAACATTTGTCAATGAACCAGATGTAGATGTGAATTTTAAAAGAGTTGGGAGAGCAGAAACTTAAAGGGTTTTGGCCCTGAACAAATAGAAGAAAGAAATTGCCATTAATAGATATGGAGTACTTTGTGGGAAGAGTTGGAGAGAGAAAGGGATGAATATCAGGACCTCCTTTTGGACATAGACACTTCGAGATATCAATTAGACATCTGAGTAGAAATATCAAGGAAGCAGTTGGATATGCAGATGGGAGGCTTGAGGAGGAGAAGTCAGGCTAGAAATGTGAACTGGGAGTCAGCATATAGATGAAATTTAAAATTGTGAGACCGAAGGAGATCTCCTGGGAATCTGTGTAGTGAGAACAGAGGAGCAAGTTCAGAACCCAGACATACTTCAGTATTAAAGGATCAATATTTATAGAATGAATGAATGAATCACAATTTTTGGTTTTCAAATTTCAAATGACTATATATAATTATGTAAAGAGAGAACTGCTTTATATAAAAAGCAAAGAAACACAAACACAAAGTAAAAATGAAATTATAGCATGACTAATTTTAAAAGAGAGCTGAGAGAGGAAAGAAAAGACCAAATTAAGGACAGGTACCCTAAATTCCTCACCTATGATAAAAGGGAGTGAAGATAGAGAGACACTACTAATATGTCAAGAAACAACTTTTTAGTATTTTCTTTGACGCCAAAGACTAAAACTAAAAATACGTAACAAGAAATCCTAGAAGGAGAGGGTGGGTGATTGGATGCTTAAAATACAGTATAAGCATGCTAATTTCCCCATCATTCAGAGGTGAAAGTCAAAGATGTTTAAGCGATAATAAATATGAGAATAGAAAAGTCTGTTTTTAAGTTAAAACAGTAATTAAAAACAAACTTAATGGCACTTGGTTCTAGGGAGTTGGCTTGAAGAGAAGAAAGGCAGTCTTTTCTGCCATTTTAATTTTTAAAACACTGAACATTACTTCTATAACCAAAAAGAATGTTAAATACACTTTTTGTAAAAGAGTACAGTGTATCACAATCCTAAAGACTTGTTTTTCCCAATTGCCAAGCTAAAACTAGGCCTGCATCCTAATTTAAACATAATTACTAGTTGAATTCAAAGTTTAAAGATGACTATTCCCTCTTTTGTTTTGTTTTTTTTGTTACCAGTACTCTAGCAATTGTTTAGGAACTGGTGCCCCACTATCTGCACTTAAACTTACAAAGTTTGTAGAGAAAGCAATTTTTATAAAAATTATTCTCTTCTCTATTTTGGACACAGATTGTTATTTCAGTCACAGAAAAAAGGAAGGAGCCTCTACTAAGCAAGGCCAACATGCTTAACCCATGCTGTTTAAACCTAACAACCTTATGTTGCTGTATTGGATAATGGCTGCCTCTATATGATTAGTTTATGGCTTCCTATCTCACAGGATGCCCCAGGAGTTTTTTGTTTGTTTGTTTGTTTTGTTAAATACTGATGTAACAAAAATGCTCAAAAGTAAGAGTATTATCAATGAACACACCGCACTTCTAAACTATAACATCTTATCACTGAAAACTGAATTAAATAATCTTAATCTCACTGCCAACTTTACAAAAAAATTAGATTGCAAATAAGAACTTGGTTAAGCTAGTCGAACTAATTTATACTAAGTCAAATTCTAAAGGAAAGAATAATATAGTGAGAAATTAACTATATAACTATGCCAGTTCCTGAAAAGCAAGCTAGCACCAAAATCTTACTCATAAACACTGTGAAAGAAAAAATTTTTCTTTCACAGTGTTTATGAGTAAGATTTTGGTGCTAGCTTGCTTTTCAGGAACTAGCATATTTGTTTTATTAAAGCAGTCTATCTACCCAAATGGCTTTCATCAAAATTATTACAAAACAGTATAGTACACATGCTTCCCAGAGTGTGCTAATATTTAATATTTTGGCACCTATTAATTATGATAAGATTCTCTCCACTCTACAAATAGTAACAACAATGATGATGTTGATAATAATGAAAGACCAGGAGGAAGGCAAAAAGCTGGACACTGATGAGCAAAGGGGAAGTGGGATAGAAATATGCAAGGCACGTTATTCCATGTAGCTATTCAATTTCAGGGCAATGGATGAGAAACATTAATCAGGTAGACAGAAGTAGACTGAACTAATCAACCCAACTATTAGAAGAGGGAAAGGGCACAGTAAGTGACCTAAAGATATAAAGGTGAAAAGAGGCAAGGCAGGGGAATCTAGATGACTCCACTTACCTAGATTTCCCTGGAGCATGTGGGTATGAATAAAAAGCATCATGGCAACAAACGACAATGAAAACACAACAATGCAAAATCTATGGGACACACTGAAAGCAGTCTTGAGAGGGAAGTTCATAGCTCTACATGTCTACCTCAAAAAACAAGAAAATCTTTTAATAAATTATCTAACCCTACAACTCAAAGAGTTAGAAAGAGAGCAACAAGAAAAGCCCAGCATAAGCAGAAGGAAGGAAATTAAGATCAGAGTGGAAATAAATAACATAGAAACAAACAAACAAACAAAAATACAAAAGATCAACAAAACCAAGAGCTGGTTCTTTTGAAAGGATAAACAAGACTGATGAACCTCTAGCCAGGCTCACCAAGAAGCAAAGAGAGAGGACCCAAATAAGCAAAATCAGAAATGAAAGAGGATAGATCCAGGAGAAACCAAGATGGTGGCATAGGTAAACACCGGAAATTGCTGCCTCGCACAACCACTTCAAAAACACAACTAAAAGACAAAACGGACATCATCCAGAACCACAGGAAGGATGACTGAGTGGAAATTCTATAACTAGAAGGAAAGAGAAAAGCACACTGAGATTCAGAGAAGGTGCAGAAGTAAAAGTGCAGAGGTACGGAGGGGCACGCATAAAAGGGCTGGCAACTGAGGACACGGTTGTCTTTTTCAATCGAGAGGGAGTCTCAAGCTCCCGACTGCTCTGAACTCCAGTTCTGGGCAAGTCTCTGGGGACCCAGACTCATACAGGGAGAAACTGGACTGTCTGGCATCGGGCAGAACTCGAGGGCGGCTTTCTCTCAGAGGTGCTTGCAGCGATTACCGGGACACTGAGACGTGGGGCCTCTTAGGGTAGGACTAAAGAGCAGCTATAGCTGCTTGCTCCACCCTGTTGATCCCCTGAGACCCCACCCCAACCAAGCTGTGCGTAGAGGCTTTTGCATATGAAAGGCCTGGCCCTTTGCAATCTGAAAATTACCTAACAAACTGCAGCTGGGTCAGAGAGACCCAGAACTTTCAAAAGAAG